TGGGGGGGGGGCTAAGTGTGTTACATTTTACAACAAATCCACTTTCAGCCCGCAAACAAGTCGGTTGGGATCTGGTGTGAATGACATCATCCTGAGAATTCTACAAATCTCTGATGGAAGAACGAAGACTTTGATGGAGAGGATGCAGAAATGATGTTATTATTTTTATAGATAAAGTTTTTTTTCTTCTTTCTTAGAACCTTTTGACTAACTGTATTTAGCCCCTGTGTTGCTTTAGACTTCGGGTTTTTACGTCTATAGACTATTTTAGCTCCAGACGCTTTTTTTCATATATATTTTTTTAAACTTTTTCACGTGTGTTTTCAGTGCTCACGTTCCTGCGGTAAAGGACTTCAGATGAGAGAAGTTCGATGCCTCACCCCAGACAGAGGCCACAGCCAGGAGTGTGACCTCGACACCAAACCTGAACAGGAGCAAATATGTAACATCGTACCCTGCAGTCCACAGGTCCCAGGTCAGTGGCTGTTTATCAAGGATCAAGTATTTTCTTCTTCTTTTCTTTAATTTAATTTGGCTGTTGCTTTGCTAACCTTTAGCTAGATCTGGTCTAAGTTGAAGCTACGTTTAAGTTTCATGCTGCTATCTAGCCTAAAATACTTGCTATTTGTTAGCTTTGCTATTATTTTTGGTCAAATTTTCAATTTTTGGGTTAGGTTTAAATGATCTCCAAGTTAGTTGTAGTTGATTAATCTGTTCTTCAATCTTCGTTCCAGACAAAAACTGCAGAGACAAACATCACAACTGTGTGATGGTGGTGCAGGCCCGGCTCTGCGTCTACTCCTACTACAAGTCGGTCTGCTGCGCCTCCTGTACCCAGAGTGCCCAGCGCGCCAAGAGACAATAAGACGGACAGAGTGTGCAGTAAATGGAGGTTTAAGTCGATAGGGGCTGATCAACCCATATATGATGTGGGGGGGGTCAGACATGTGAAGGCTTCAGATCACCTGTATTTTTTTTACCTTCTTTTCCTGAGTCTTCAGGTAAAAAACACTGTGAAGGCAGCGGTTCCTTGTGCCATTACTTCACTCTGCAGTTCGTCGTCGTCGTCGTCGTCGTCGTCGTCGTCGTCGTCTCCTCGAACCACATGTTCCACTGAGCTCGTTTGCGTTCACTCTGTGCATTAGCCGTGACAGCTTTACCACGTGTCCCACTGTGCTCAACGCTGCGTGTGCTTTTAAAGGCTCGTTTTTTTACGACGGAGAATTGTTAATGGAAGGATCTCCCCCGCGGATTCAGCTGTTTTTCTTGACCATTTTTTAAAACGTTTTATTAGACATGCGTACCACTAATGACGTGTTGAACAGTTGACTGCCGTGCCTGTTAGAGAAAGTGTGTATTCCGTAGTACCGCAGTACTGTACGCCTGTCCGAGATCTACTGGAATAGATCCACCGTGTTCCTCTTCGCTGCTTTTCTCCACAACCTTCAGAGCTTCAGTGGAAAAACCTCTGTATCGATCTAGAAGGATTTCTTTTATATATATATATATATATAAATATATAAATATATAGTATATATTTTTGCCAAAAAAAAATGTCTTCTTCACAACGTGTCGTGTTGTTGAATGTTCATGAAAGTTTTTGTACATGTGAACCAAAAGAAACCGAGAAACGGAGGCAGAAAGTGACCAAATAAAACGTACCACGGCAGTGAGTCGGTGCTGAGGGTCCGACAGAACGAAGTTGTTAGAAATGAGGACGATGATACACAACTTTGGAAAAGACTCAGTAGTACACACTGGAGAGGAGTACACACAGGTCTGCACCAGTGAAAACCAGTGATTAAGTATGAGTACAGTACCAGTATTTTCTAAGTGTACCCACTGATACCAAGTACAGTCTCCAATACTTCTTAAGGTCAGGTTTCAGTGAATACGCAAAAACTCTTAGAACTGAAACTGTTGTCACGTTGTACAATATGTCGATAAATTCAGATAAAGAGTTAAAAAATAATATTAAAAAAAAAGAGTCAAATTTCTGTGTAGTGAACACGGCCAGTTGAACAGAAAGTGAGCGGAGCTTTAACACCGATAGAACGCTTCAATTGAAGACACTGCCTCCTGCTGTACAGTAGACAAACTGTCACTGTGTAGCACTGTTCCAGTGTTTTAATTAATTAATAAATTAACAGGTGAACCTGCACCTATCTGAGTCCACATAGATGGCGCTATGGCAGGAGTGAGAGGGTGTATTTATTTTATTTATTTTTTTTCATTTGTTCAGGCGGGTTCGACAAATCATGTAGTGTGTGTTAGTGTGTCACTGAGTCTTTTCAAAAAGTTGTGCAGTGAGTCCAGAGATCTGTCTCCCTCACACGACAAGAAAAATGTCGTTATTGAAATTCATCTTTTACCCTTCAAAACTAAACAACGAATCCTTATTGGACAATATCACCAGATCATCACCAACCAACACAAAGACAAACTGCTCCAACGAGACACGACTCCAGCCGGGCCTGCAAATTACATCCAGCAGATGGCGCCCTAGGCGGCCGCTCCTGTGGCCCATGCTGAGAGCCGTCTTTGCTTCATGAGATTAGTCCCCCCTCCCGTGACTGAGGTTTTTAGTCCCCGTGTTAATCTTGAGGAGAGGCAGAAGAGAACGACTGGTTTTATGAGAGCGGGTCAAACCAGATTAAAGAGTTGTGAGGGATGA